TATATATATATATATATATTAAACTTTCTTTGTGAATTTATATCGCGGCTATTCTATATGTAAGAAAAGCAACGATTATTGTTGTAATGTTGTAACATAATGAGAATTATGTTGTAATATTGGAAAGTAGCATATATGTTCCAAAAAAAACAAAGAGACATTGAAATCTTCTTTTTTTTTAATTATTTTTCATTGTTCCCAACATCCTTACTCCTTTAAATTGACAATAGTAGACTAGTAGAAAATAAATATATAGTTCTATATCTCTACGAGTGAGAGTGTATTTTTATTGTAGATGTGTGGATTTGTTATTGTTAATAGTAAAATATAAGTAATTATATATTGGTTTTTCAGTCATTAATATTTAGTAATTAATAAAAAAGTTTATTATTCGTTTAAATTTCGAAGTAGGGAAATGTTTTACATTGGGTGAGTAGGTGTATTCAATTTTTTGCAAGATATATTTCGAAGATTATGCGAATTTTTTAATATATCAGTTTTATTTAGATAGTATTTATTATTTCATTATAAATTTGAATTGATGATTAATATGGATATGTTCATGTTAAGATGAATTAATGTGAATGTCTCACTATGTAATAATTGTCAAATATTGATTTTTTAAATATATAACATTTTCTGTCATATTTTTCTAAATTTATATTAGTATTTTTCAGAGAAAGAAAGAAAGACAAGAGTAGCAGCCTTTTTTAAATTAGGATATATATATATATATACTTTCTAAATTAGGATATATATACAAATTAGATTTAATATCTTTTGGTTCTACAGACATTAAAAAAAAGAATGATTTGAAATGAACTGTATTTATTACAATTCTACCTTTTAATTAAAAAATTAATTATCTAAAACTGAATATATTTCATGTGTATGTATTCTCCTATAACACATACGTACATATATATATATATTAGTAATTTTTATCTTTATATATAAAAAATACGCGTTTTCTAAAATAAATATTGTTTTGGGATTCAAATAATTACTTTATAAAATAGTGTTGTATTCTTCATAGAGATCGTCTTAAGCAACAATGTTGCCTCACAGGTTCATCTAAGCAGCGAAGAAAGTGAAGAATCTCAGAAGGAGGAGGAAGAGAACAATCTTGAGACTAATTTTATGTCATGTGATAAAAATTCAAGGACAAAAGAGACACTCCATAAATCGAAGAAAGAGAATCACGTGAAGGAATTAAGTAATCTTACATCTAGTCAACTGGAAGCCATAATTGGCGTTAGCCTCTGCGAATAAATTTCTCCATTTCTTAATGAAATTCATTGTGCATATAGCAAAACTAATGTTTATTAATATGTATGATTCCGGACAAATGTACAATTAAATATCTAGTAATAT